TGTGATCCTGGCCCCGGGCAGGAGGAGAGGGAAGGGAAGGGATGGGAAGGGAAGGGCCTGGAGGTTCCTCCAAGAGGCAGCAGCTTTAATACTAGAACAGGGTTGTGTTGTGGGGTCGGGTGGGCGCCGCGTGTCGGAGGTGCCGGAGGCAGGCCCTGCTCCCGCCTGTCCGTGTTGTCCCTGTGTGTATGTGTGTGTGTGTGTGTGTGTGTGTGTGTCAGGCTGTCCCTGTCCTCCCTGTGAGGACAAGCTGTGAGCCCGTGGCCCTCCACCACATCCCAGTTCCCTGCAGGGCTGGCTGGTGCTTGCAGGGGAGGCTGGAGGAGAGTGGGACCCAGCCAGCCTTTGGGACACCACGCTGGTCACCTGTGAGGTCTCTCTGCTGTGTCTGTGCAGGATGTGGATGTGGAGGAGTTTGTCCTTCCCACCCTGCAGGGACAAGGGGAATATGTGTGTGTGTGTGTGTCTGTGCACAAGGGTACTATTTAATGTCTATATTAGCACTATCTACACTCTATGGAGCCAGGGCCCTTACATATCCTCCATTCCATGCCTTGGCCAGCACTGAGGGGCAGGAGGATCTTGCAGGGGACGCCTTGGAGGGTGGCCCAGAGCTGGAGTCCAGCAGGGAGAGCAGAGCTGACCCTGCAGAGCCTTCCCAGCTCGGCCCATCCTTCCCATGACACAGAACCCTGGGCACTGACTGCAGGACCGTTTGGGGATGGAGAATGACCAGAGCTGACATGGGCTGTGGTGTCATCCCAAATCCAGAAGACACTTTGGGTTTTGCAGGGAGGGAGTCGTCCCTCCCTCCAGCCAGCCATGGGATGAGGATGTGCCCGTGCAGGAGCAGCCATGCTCGGGGATGCAGCCTGTGCTGGGTGTGTGCTGGCTGCTTCCCTGCTCCCAGTGCTGCCACATGCAGATGTGCCAGTGCAGAGTGGCCCCTGGATGTCCCCTTGTCATCCATCCCACGCTGCCACCCTCAAGGCCACACCACTGCAGTGTCCCTGTGTGCAGACCATGTGGCTGGAGGAACAGCACAGCTCCAAGTGATGGACAGGCAGCAGGTCAGGGATGCACCCGGGATTATTTCTTTCCTCCATGGATTTTTGGGAGCTGTTTTCCTGCTGCCATGTCCGTGGCAGCTGGATTGTGGGACTGAGGGTGGCACAGCTGTGACACTGCCATCACTGCCAGCCCTGCCTCCTGCTGCTTGTCCCCAGCCGTCCTGGGGCCACATCCCTTCAGTGTTCCTAATAAACCAAGACTGGTGACAGCTGGGGAGCTGTGCTTTCTGTTGGTGGGTGCTGAGTGCAGAGAGGGCAGTGAGCCAGGGGCTGCTCCTGTGGGGACACAGGTCTGGGGCTGAGGGAACAGACACCTGTGCAAGTGTGGGCTCTGGGTTTGTGACCAGCCCACCCTTGGGGACAGGAGGTGGAGGCTGTGCTGTCCTGTGAGGCTCTGACTGAGCCCTGCCCCTACTGCAGGAGCTACTTGGGGAATTTTACTAGGAAAAAATTTGGGGATGAGATTTATCCCTTAATCTGCTGACTGCTGGAAATAAAAGAGAAACTTGCCTTTCTCTAAAACTTACTCAGACTTCATTAGCTCAGACAAAAATATACAGCCATCAGGTGAGCCCTGCTGGTACAGACCAAGCCTGTATCACTCTCCCCCCATCCCTGCCAGTCCTGCATCCCTCCAAACCAGCAGCACAAGGTCAGATGTTTCCTGGGGAGTGCTGGCCTGCTCTGGGCCCTCACCTCCCTCCCACACAGTCACAGCTCGGTGCCAGGCTCAGGGTTCCCCCTGGCATTGGTGTTTGTCCTTGGCCACACACCGGTGCCAGCAGAAAGATCTCCCTGTGGCCGAATCCAGCGGGATTTCTGGAGCATGTTGGGATCCTTTCCTCAAATCTGGTCCTTAGGGCAAGATCCTGGCATCCACCAGGGAGTCCTTGATCCACCACAGCCTTTTGCTGCTACCAGAAGGTCCAGGGGGGCTGCATCATCTCGTAGGTGGGAATGCTGGTGACGTTGACAGGAATGGAGATGACAGCCCAGGGGAGCCCGTGCTGCTCCAGGGAGCGCCTGATCATGTACCTGCAGGGAGGGAGGGGTGATTGTTCCCAAACTGCCAGGCTGGGACAGCAGAGCCACACCCCAGCACCAGTCACAACCCAACTCAAATCCTGTCCCCATTAACCAGGAACTGAATCCATGCAAAACGTGGCTCCCAAAGCCCGGCAGGGCCACGCTGTCCCTCCCTGTTGTGGGGGACAAGGCTGTCACTCAGCCATTGCCTTGTGGCACCCTGGGAAGGCAGCCCGGGCACGTACCCGTCCCTGCCCAGCAGGAAGAGCGCGGGGATGTCGGCCGTGCGCCGGGAGCTGTCCTGGATCATCTCGATGTAGAAGCTGTCGTTGTCGTAGGCGTTGTCGGCGATGATCACGGCCCGCCCGCCGTGCTCCTGGATCACTCGTGTCTTGGACAGGAAGGAGCAGCCCCTGTGGCACAGACACCACGCTGTGACCAACTCCTGGTGGCCACGGGCAGCTCCAGAGCTCGCCTGGAGGCACCCAAACTAGGGATTGTCTGATTCCTTGATTCCACACCTCCTCCAAACCCCGCTCCTCTGAGTCTCTATTTTAGGCACAAGCCACCCACACTCCTAAAAAAATATGAAAGAAAATCTTGGGATGGTTTGGGTTGGAAGAGACCTTAAATCCCATCCAGTTCCACCCCGTGCCATGGGCAGGGACACCTTCCACTGTCCCAGTGTCCAACCTGGCCTTGGACACCTCCAGGGATATAAGGCATCCAGAATTTCTTTGGACAACCTGTGCCAGGGCCTCAGCACTCTCAAAGAGTTCCTTCCCACTGTCTAATCTAAACCTACTCTCTCTCAGTCTGAACCCAGACAGGATTTTTTTCTACCTTACCACAGGCTAAAAAATACAAGATGCAATTCTCCAGGGTAGGAACACCCTCACATTTTCCTGGTTTATCTATGTGGGGAAAGCCACAGGAAGAATCTAGAGGTGATGGGGAGATGTGGCCAGGGCTCTCCTCCTGCCCAGCAGGGTCCCCCAGCAGCTGCCACGATGCCAGACCTACCCCCTCTCCACCAAGGCGATCTGGTCCTGGATGAAGACCCCATTGTTCAGCTCTCCACAGGCCTCCGGAGGATCCGCCGGGACCAGGTGGATCTGCTCGTACCTTGTGTTCTCCGAGGAGACAGGCAGGGGTGAGCCAGGGGGGACCAGAGCTTCTCCCCCTCCCCACTCACCCCCCACACCCTGCTCATCCCCGTGGGGGCTGCTCTGGGCGAGATTTTGGGCTCCCAGCTACAGAGCCAGCCCTGGGGCCAATCCCCACCTCAGGAATCCTGCAAGGATGCTTGTGGAAGAGCAATGAGCTCCGTTTTAATCAAAACTCAAAATCACCGAGTCCCACCAAGGAGCAGTATTGGCATGGAGGGACCCAAAGTGACAAATTCAGTTTTTAATACTTACAAACACTCCACCGAAATCCTTGGCTGGGGTGGCAGTGAAGATGTAGCGGATGTCTCCGGGGCTCAGCACTTGGAAATACAAATATTCATGGATGCGTAAACCTGGGGGTGAAAGGACAGAGCTGAGAGGCAGGGGAAACTAAAAAATCCCTGAAAAAAGGGGGAAAGTCTCAGTTATTATGGGGAGAGAACATGTCCTTCAGCAATGCTCAGGACTCAAAATGCTCCAAAGGTTTTGGGGTGTTCCAAGGGCAGATGTGGCAGTTCCCAGGGGCTGAGAGGGGATGGGAGCAGGAAAAGCACCAGGATTGGGGTGCTCAAGGGGAAAAATGCTGCTGGACCATGGAGGGGAGAGGGGTGATAGGCACCCAGACTGAGGGGAAACACACCAGGATCACAAAGGGAAATGAGCTTGGATTAGGATGCAGCAGGAAATGCAGTGGAGCTGGGATGCAGTGTTGGGAAATGTACCTGGATCACAGGGCCCGGAGGGGAAATCCACACTGCACCCAGAGGAAATGCTGCTGGATTGGGATGCTGCGTGGGGAAATGCAACTAGGTCGAGGGGCACCGAGGGAATCGCACCAGGACTGGGATGCAGGAGGGGAAATGCACCCACGCTGGGATGCAGGAAAGGAAATGCATCAGAATTGGGGTGCAGGAGGGGAAATGCACCCGGATTGGGATGTGGGAGGAGAAATGCAATGAGGTGGGGGCACACCGAAGGGAAATGAAATTAACCACAACGGGCTTGGAAGGGGAAATACACCGGAATAGAGACAGGAGGGGAAATACAGCGGGATAGAGACACGGGAGGGGAAATACAGCGGAATAGAGACAGGAGGGGAAATACACCGGGATAGAGACACGGGAGGGGAAATACACCGGGATAGAGACAGGAGGGGAAATAGAGCGGAATAGAGACAGGAGGGGAAATATACTGGGATAGAAACACGGGAGGGGAAATAGACCGGGATAGAGACACAGGAGGGGAATGGCAATGGGGCCGGGAGGGGAAATACACCGGGATCGCGATGCGCCAAGCGGGGAGGGGGCTGGGCCGGGGTGTTTGGGGTGTGTGCGGGGTCCGGGTCGCTGAGGGGTCTGGCCGCTGTCCCCGCTCCGTCCGTCCCTCTGTCCCCCCGTCCCTCACTCACCGCGGGCCGGGCAGCAGCAGACGCAGAGCCAAAGCCAGAGCCAGAGCCAGAGCAGCATGGCTGCGCCACGCCCCGCCCACCGGCCCGACCCACGCTCCCCATTGGCTCATCATCTCACCGCGCTGCTTCCTATTGGTCGGTACCTCCATCAATCACGCGCGGGGCGGGGCGGGCAGCTCGCTGTCACCGCGGTGTCCTCTGCCAAATAGTGCTCCATTGCACTTCCCCGCTGTGTGCGCCCTCTTCCCTCCCTGCCAAATTGTGCTGCCCACCCCCGGCCCGCCTCCGGGAAGGTTCTGGGCGTGCGCGGTGCATTGTGGGGGGGGCCGGGAGCGAGCAGCCGCCGCGATGATGGTGAGTGAGCCGTGCCCCCGCCGCCATCCGCCGCCATCCGCCATTGTCCCCGTGTCCCGCAGCCCTGCCCGGGCCGCGGGGCCTCCGCAGCCCCCCAAGGACCGCGTGTGGAGGGGTGGCGGCGGCCTGGGCCGCGGGGATGGAGCCGCCGCGGGGCGCAGGCCTGGCGGTGTCC